GGCATTATTATACACCAGGGGTGGCCAACTCAAATGATCTTGCAGACCACTTGGAAATGCATCCTAACTCCGCATAATAAATTATATATTCTCATATTAGATTTAGACAAACTATAGACATTTTTTGCAGTGAAAAATTTAAACATAATGAGTTATTATTTTTGTGCTTACTATCATTCTTCTTATATATGAACATAGATAATAATATACATAACATGAACATAGATAAATAATAATAATGATGATACTAAACGCACATTGTAAAGAAATATACAACAAGTATGGAGAATTCCAAATTTCACAAGAATCACTATCACATTCAATAGCCAAGAGAATACACTAAAGTTTGAAAATTCTAAGCATAAAGAAAGAATGAAGTATTCCAAATGCAATAAGAGAAGCACTACGGCTCAATAGGCGTGGTACAAATGCCAAAAGTGATAAATATGAAACTTAAAAAGAAGGGATTAATAGAACACATTTCGATTACTTATAGTCATTGGAAATACAAACCAAACATGGAAAGTGATCCCCAAAGCATTAAAAGTAATCCAAAACGATACAGAAAAACACCTCAAGCCAAATTCTCCAGAAAATTCCTGAGAATTCCTGACTAACGTTATTCATGAATCATTTCAGGAATTAAGGGGCCCAAAGTACCATTTTGTCAAAATTTGCAAAATGGAGTTTATTTGCTGGACCCTCATTTTCGGATAACGTCACGGACCCCTAACCAGGACAACATCATGTTCACACATGATAAAAAATATCCAGAATAAAATCCATTACTGGTAAAGAAAAATATTATGGATTTGATTTACTTTAATAGTAATTCAATCAGTTTAAAACAGTGTTCGATATTTTCATTACAGGTCTGCTCTACTTTAATACTTGTGACTTTTTAAGTGGCAAGCAACCAGTTCGGACGTGAAGGCTCCAGATGCCTGGGATTCCTTCAAGCACCGGTGGTCTCAATCAGACCGCAAACGCCGACCAGGCGGGGTTCCCCTATCAGGTATTTCTCACGGACCCAGAGCCTGTGCTGCATGAAAAAAAGGTTCCCAGCAGCACCCCGGGCACCGCCGAGGCCCAGCACTATCGCATACCTGCCCTGATGCACGAGCGAAGACAAATTGAATCAATGGATTATGCATACCGCTGGACTTGTATTTTGTTGCGTAAAAAAAAGCAGCTGCAGCGTACTGTTGACGAATTATGTGTAGCTTGGGTGCGATGCGATGACTTGATGGATTAGACATTATGGATCAGAGAAAGGTTGAGTTTCTTTTGTGAGAATTTTAGTGTTAGAAAGGTTTTTTAGCTGAATTTCAACGCTTATGGGTGCATTGGATAGGTTTTTTAAACATAATAGTAATTTTTTATTATTTCTCCATATAAAAATAAACGAATTAATATTTGTAGTGGCAAAAATGCTATAAATCACTTGGTGGAATAATCGAGAAAATTCATTTCATACTGAACAATGCAGTGATGACCGAGTGTCTAGCTCTCTGGCGCTCTGTGCCACAGATTTCGGTTCGAGTCCCGCGGTGTCATGGATGTTTGAAAATGGTTTGGAATCCACTTTAAACCGTAGGTCCCTGTCTAATGACTGTAGAGCGTTGTCTTGAGGTTGTCTTCAGCCCTCGTGGTTTAAAAGTGAAATAAAAAATATTACCCTTGGCCATGGACCGGTCACCTGATGGAGCCTATTGACCTCGTGTAGCTTTCCTGCACCAAGGGTATTAGTAGCAACAACACAATGCAGTGCAGATATCAGTTGCAACAGTTTAAGTTTATTTTGCTCCTAAGGTGAGATGATCCTACTTGAGACTTGTTGAGTTACTTATATGTTGAGTTTGTCTCCCTACTGCCATTTTTTGCACATGAGATATTTTGATTCCAAACCACTAACAAACATCCATGCCACATTCTTTTTCGGGAACCTGAAGCCTTAAGTACCGTAAAAAAGGCTAGAACGCCAGCCAATTGCCATCATGCCGCCTAAATTCAGATTTAAGATCTGTATCAATCAGATAATTTTTCACCATTTGGATTTTTATATTAGCATAAATATTGAATAGTTTCTTCTGTATCTAAAAAATTGCAACAAATTAGAATAGCATTCAGAAGAATTTAAAAAGGAAATAAATAAATAAAAACAAACATTAAAATTTTAACATGAAATTACTATCATCGGCGCAACAGGCCCACAGGAACATGGTGGAACAAGGCTTTCTGCTTACTGGCAGATTTCGAGACAGGAGAAGTTTTCTTTTGCAGGGTAGAATGTCTACGAATTACGCCTACAGCCTTACGTCCAACGCTCTACAGTCATATTAGAGTTCGGGAATGGCAGAAAAATGTATTCCTTAAACCACTACAACATCCATGGCACCGACGGGACTCGGACCCCCTCCACAGAGCGCCAGTCGTAATATTTCATCAGGCCCTTAAAAATTATACTTTGCTTATAATAATAATTTATTGTTATAATAATCATTATCTTTTTTTGTGTATTTCGACTGTAAATTATATTTGGAAAAATAATTGCCATTGAGAATAATAATCTGAAAAAAGATAAAATGAATCTTTATTAATATTCATCAAATTAACTTCTTTTAATTACAAACAAATTAATTTTTCTATTATAGCGATGTATGATAAATCTTTCAGTATTTTTTAATGACGTAGTATTTAAGATTAAAATATTACTAACATAAAATACAAAGTAACTATTTGAAAGATGGAATGATATAAAACAAAAATAACTTTAGGATAATAATAGGATCTTATCCTGAAAGATCGTCAACTGGCTAATTTTTTAAAATTGAAAATTACATGTATTTTGAATTTTGTTATCGGTAGGAGTTAACTCTAGCATTATTATGTTGTCTATATTTACTCCTCAGTTGAATAATAACTGATTTTTTTTCACTGGAATAGAAAAAACTAAATACGTTTTACTGGTTGCTAGACATCTTACGTAGTCTATAATTAAAGGAAAAATTAAAAAATTTAAAAATAATTGAAACGAACAAGTTATGACTTAATAAAACCCTTCAGTATTTTTAATGACTACTCTATATTTTAATAACATGTTAGTGATAGTAAAATATATCACGATTTAATAAAAAAAAAGGAATCGAACTCTCATTATGAATAAACGTGAGTTAATTCTCAAAACCTCGTCGTTTAAATTGTAATTAATTTAAAATTCAATGGGTGTGTTAAATTTTGTCTTATTAGTATATTAATATGTCTTACTGTACTTTAGTTTTTGTAATGAATTAAATTATCTTTTAGTTGCCCTTTTCGTTAAAATTGACAACATTTTAATTTTTGTACTTCTAAGAAACTAATTACCGGAACAAAAATAAAAAATGAAAAAAAAATAATTTTTTTAAGTGATTTACAAAATATTGCGAAACACAGTATCAGTTCAAAACTTTTTATTATTATATTTTTTCAAAATTATGTGATATAAGGGCACGTTACACTTTCAACACGTCGTTATTGTTTTATAGAAGAAAACATAGCTGCATGAAATGTTTAAGCTGGTACTGGGCTTAATACTGAGGTGAGCTGTCTATAAGAATAACTGAGAAGTAAAGAAAAAAGCCCGGCTTGTGGCTCAGTGGTAAAGTGAGCATTAGGTCTGAGGTTCAATCCACTGGCGGCATTGTTCAGCCACTGTTTGAAAAAACGAGGGAGGCTCAATGGAGTTTGGGATGTTCAGCCTCTTGCCTCGCAAGTCGGGCTACATTGTGCGAGTTTTCCGGGTTTTTCACCCATACGATAATCAAATGCTTTAGTTCCCTTTTTAAAAGACCTTCAGGAAGGCACTACCCTCCTTCTTCAGTTATTCTAGGCCAAGTCAGAATTCTACCTACGGGTGCTCCATCACAACAACAGCTGCCTGTCCCCCCTTTCCCTTCCACCCATGAGTAGACTTTTCATGGGGTGTATGCCAAGCGCTGCCGGACACTAACGATTAGAAAGAACGACAAAAAAAAAAAAATCTGCGGAATTGTTTAAAAAGAATGATTAATTGTAATAAAAAATTATCATAGGAGAACAAATATATTTTTCTCGAGTATTCAGGAAAGCTTCCTATATGTGACACATTTATAGAGACTAAAAAAAAAAATTTCATACAGAATGAAAAAAAAAAAAAAAGTTTATGCATTGTTGCGTATTCGCAACATTTTTAAACAGATTAGTTTGTTTTTCCTAATGCAGCTGGCAAACGTTTAGACAGTTGTCTTGGATGCCTTAAGGCAAGAGCTGCACTGAAGTTACTCACTTAGCATTACCAGGAGGTGCGTGCAGCTTGAAGATAAGCTACGGGCGCGGAGTAACAATACCCCGCAACGCTCTACGACCCTATTAGACCTGGACCTACGGTTTAAAGTGGATTCGAAACACTACAAGCATCCGTGGCACCGCAGGGACTCGAACCCGTGACCTGTGTTACCGAGCGCCAAATCACTATCCCCTCCACCATTCAGGCCCTAAATAGATTGGTAAATTGGAATAAAAATAGAGTTTTGGTCAAGCCCTGAAGGTAGTGCTCTTGTAGACGACACGATAATCGTTTGCATTTTTTTTTTTTTTTTTACTTTAGTAGACGCTTCACTCTTGGTCGCTGACATAAAGCGAAAATAAGAATTGATAAAACACCGTTATGTACTTTGTAATTCTTATTTTCGCTAATTTGTTGTTGTTTCTTATCCCACTTGGCTGGCGAAGCCCAAGAGCCCATACGTACTCATGATTAAAGGGGCAGGAAACAGCTTCTGTTGTGATGGAGCACCCGTAGGTAGATGTCTGACTTTGGCTCCGTGACGCTCTTACAGTCATAGGTGACCGGGACCTACGGCTTGAAGTGGATTCCGTACCACTACAAACATCCATGACACCACAAGGGACTCGAACCCGAAACCTGAGGCACCGAGCTCAGACACTCGGCCATTCAGGTCCCAAATGTGTGAATGGCAACGGCACGCGGTGTTCCCAGGTGGTCACCCACCCAAGTATTGACCGCGCCCAATAATGCTTAACGTGATCTAACGAGAACCGGTATATTCAGCATGGTATGGCCTTTGGCCGATTTTCGCTAATAGTGGAACTAACTAAAATAGTGGAATATCTACATAAATAACTTTAGGATGATGGGGTGGGATAGTAGATGTACTTCCCATTGGGGCATCGTAGTAGTGTCCTAGGCGGCTAAAAGATCTAATACTATCGGCATGCAGCAAAGATCTAAGGGTGATCAACTTGGTGGGACTTCGTGTAGGTTGAGTGTCTTGCAATGGAATGCAGGCGGCCTGTCCCAAACTAAGAAAGTTGAGATTCAACATTCCTTTGCCAATTACCAATGTTGAGACTTGCGGTGAGCCATGACTGTTTGGCGAGTCATTGGCATTTTTGACTCATCTGTCGGAAAGACGAGAGCGTCGACATGCACCCTATAGCAGGATGCCCGGACTCCGAGGTGAAAAGATATTGGAGCGATAGAATTTTTGCTGATGAGACATTGACTTTTTTTCTTTTCTTTTTTTGTGTGTGTTTTACACTGTTTTGATATCTTAACAGTTTGTTATTTTTTCTTGTCATTGGAAATCAAAAAAAAAACATCAGGATGATAATATGATCTTATTCGAAAAAAGAAAAGTGATTTTTAAAATTTGTAAATTACGTTCCGAATTGTGTTATCAGTAGGAGTTAACTCTGGCATTAAAATGTTGTCTATATTTATTTCTAGTTTTAATAATAATTGATCTTTCATTGGAATAGACAAACTAAACGAGTTTTACTAGTTGCCGGACATCATACATAGCATACATAATAAATTTCATATATTTTTCAATGTAGTACATAATAAATTATAAGAAAAGCAAATTTTGAATTATTTATAAGCTCTCCAAGCATTTACCTATCATGGACGATTAATCTAAAGTTTATATTTTATAATGGGATTGATGGCCGAGTGGCTAGCGCTGTGGAGCGTTACCACAGGTTTCGTGTTCGAGACCCGGCGGTGCCATGGATGTTTGTAGCGGTTCGGAATCCATGCTAAACCGTAGATCCCGTTCTAATACGATCTTAGAGCGTTGCGGGGGCATTGTTACTCCACGTCCGTGGCTTATCTTCAAGTTACAGGTGCCCCCTTGGTAGTGCTAAGTGAGTAACGTCGGTGCAGCCCCTGTGACATAAAAGATCACGGTCTAAGTATTTTCCAGCTGCATTAGAAAAAATTTTATTATTAAGAAATGATTTAGTGTATTTTTAATCATTTTAATTCCGTAACATATTTTATAGTTTTAATGCAAATGTTCCAATACTATCAGAAATCAGAGTATTGAAATATTGTTGGTGCTAAAAAAATGTTTATATTATGCGTTAAGTACTATTAGATGTTAAAGTAAATATAAATATTATTATATTATATTATTAGTGTGTACCATTGACACCAAATAATATTAGGTGTACCAACATTTTTACTTTACACAAAATATTATTAGATATAAAGTAAAAATGTTAAAGAAAGCAGCCTTAAAGATTTATCATCATCATCATCAGTGGCGCAACAGCCCCATGGTGGGTCAAGGAAGTTACCTACTAGCAGATTTCAAGACAGGAGATGTTTTCTTTTACGGGGTAGTATTATCAGTCCTACGTCCAATGCTCTACAGTCGTATAAGACAGGGAGCTACAGTTTAAAGTGGATTTCGAACCACTCTAAATGTCCATGGCAAACCGGGTCTGGAACCCGAAACCTAGGGCACCGAGCACCTGAACGCTAGTCACTCGTCATCAGGCCCTTTTAAAGATTTATGACTTACTAACTCTAATGTAAGTCATCAAAAAAAAAATTAAGATCACATCAAATGGATGATAAAATTAAAAATTGATTTAAAAGAAATCTGTATCAAAAAGTCAGAAGATCTCGCCAACTACAAAAACAGTGAATTTCTTTTATTAAGACACAATATTTAAAATGACAATTTATATAAAATCAAGAAATGAATGTATCATATTTCGTCTAATATATAAAATAGGCATTGTTTTTTAACAGAGATTACTTAAAGAGGAAAATGATACAAAGATAATATAAAACTACAATAAATATATATCATTTTATAATTAGATTGGCGTCAACTACCAAGATACTCAAATAAATTCTCAGAAATAATCAGCATATATATAGGTAGATATAGTAACATAACCTTATCTCAAGTGTCGACTGCTCGGACGATTAATCGATATTCTTAAAAGAATCGATGGCTGTTAAGCTTATTTAATTCGATTTCCATTTTATAAATTTACGATACGTCATAATTCAAGGAGATAACGTCAACTGTAATATATATCGCTTATCTGGAAAGTAAATAAAAGTATTATTTATAGTTTCATAGTTTTTTTTTTTATTTGAAGTGATATGACTATAGGCTTAACTAAAACAGGAAAAAAAACCATTTAAAAAGGTCTATTTATAACAGGGCTGGCCAACCCACGGGCATTAGGCCGCATGCGGCCCACCTTGAATATTTTTCGGGCCCGTGAGATTTATCATACGTTTACAAAATATATTTATTTCATAATGGCCAAATTAGTTAAAACTAATGTTTTAAAAAAATACATTATGTGCCTTAATCTGCGAAAACATAGTCTGCGAAACATCTTAGTCTAACGAAAACATAAACTTTGATTTTAAAATAATATTCTTACTAATTTATGGCAGGTATTACCTGTTCTATTTATGAGTTTACAGTTATGAGTTCGCAGAATAATTAAATTATATTCTTCGAATCATGATGCACATGCATCTTGGAACATCTAATATAACAGGTTCTATGTTTCACTTTAAGATATCTCAGTGACCATCCCTAGATACGCGCAGTTGATTGTTGATAGCAGAGCAAACCAGACTCTTAATTCTAGTTGTTAGCGTTTTTAGTTTAAGTTACACCTGCGAATCGGTTCTTTCAAAAATGAAATTGATCGAACATGCAAACCACGTTCAACATAAAGGACGCTAACGTGCATTACCCATTACGATGCGCAAATACCCAAATTGAGATCGATTTGTAAAAGCTAAGTGAGAGAGTGGAGACACAAATATCTAGTAAAATGAATATTTTTTAATGATTTCATTTTTTTTACTTCATTTATATTTATATGTTTTTGCATATTTCAATTTTAGTGTTATATGTTTCATTACAATGTGCGTTTAGTATCATTATTATTATATTATCTATATTTACATGTAAGAATAATAGTAAACACAAAAATAATAACTCATTGTTTCAGTTTTTCACCAAAAAAAAAGTCTATAGTGGGTCTAAATCTAATAGGGGAATATATAATTTTATATGTGGCCAGCTGAGTTAGGATGCATTTTTAAATGACCCGCAAGATCATTTGGGTTGCCCCCCTGATCTATAACATAAAAATATAATTATCAAACCATTTTTGATTTTTTTTTTTTTCATCAAAAAATATACATCCTAAAAGTTTGTAATAAAACAATTTTTTTAAATGCACAAGAGTACTCAAAAATTAATAAAGTTTTCTTCAAAAAACGATTTTAGTAATTTTAATTTTATTCTTTTTAATAGTGAATTTTAAGTATTTATTCTAATTGACTGAGAGTCAATGTTTTAATTAAATTATTGGTTAATTATTAAGATTTTCCTTGTAAACCTCATTACAAAAGATAAGAAATAACTTTTTTTATCAAAAATTTACAATCTAAAAGTTTGTAACACATGATAATTTTTATGCGCTTTCTTATTACTCAAAAATTAATAACGTTTCCTTAAAAAATGTGTAGTAATTTTAATTCTATTCTTTTCTAATCATGTAGTTTAAATATTTCTTCTATTTCATTGAGAAGCAATGTTTTAATTAGATTGTTAGTTATTAAGATTTTCCTGTAAACCTCAATAAAAAATATAAGAAATAACTTGTTTATAGTATACAGTTTTAAGGTTTTTTTAAACAAAATATTATTCCTAAAGTTTGATGCAAAATAATGTATTTATATTATTCAAGTAATTATAATATTAGTATTATTATAGCATTAGTAATTATAGTATTAATATTATTATAGTGTTAATAATTATACTATTAATAATTATTACCAATACTATAATAGTACTAATATATAATTATTAACACTATAATAATATTAATTCTATAATAATACTAATACTATAATAACGCAAATACTATAGTACTAATATTATATTAACACTAAGTTATTATTCAAGTAAATCATATTCTTTAAAAGTCGAGATATATATCTTGTGGTCTCTGTAATTACGAACATAAAACTTGTTGCAAAATTATATTCTATCCAAATTTAACATGAGGTATTTCCGAATTTATGAAAAGAGCTATTAATCTTTCGCTGATTATAACACAAGAATTATTACGAAAGCAATTGTTATTCTAATTTGGGATATATTTCACTACTTTAAAAATGTTGTACAGCAGAAATTATTGCTTTATGACTGATTGGGTAACACGGAGGTCTCAGCAAGTATTTCTAAAGGAAACAAATTTCGACTTCTGCAAACTACTGATTTGTATGTATGAATAACTTTTTATCTGTTTGGAAATTAATCTCTTTGACAAAGTCATTTATCTACAGTCCAGTACAGAAACAAGACCTTGAGAATGAGTTGTTTTTTCTGCTTACAAGTACATGTTCTGTCTGACAAGCATTTTAGACTCGAGATTTCGTAAACATCTATTGGATCAGTTTAAACATTTGTGTATTTATGTCAATGGAATAATTAGTAAAAAATACATAACAGGATAGTATCGTAATATATTTAGCCATTTATTATTGTATTAATTATATACAGATTTTTTTTTTAATTTTGTCTTTTATTAATTGACATATTTGGTTATTAGCGGCAAAGGTTATGTGATAAAAATGGTTATGATAGATTTTATTGTCAAATGTTCATGAAAAGATTATTTCTATGGAATCGATTGTTAATGAAGTAAGTTGTGAAAATCAATACGAAGTAATTGGAATTAAACACAAGAATTCAGAACGAAGAATAGAAGAACAGAATTAAGAAC